TTTATGTATGTTCTCCAAATGTATATTGAACAAGAAGGTTATTTTTTTCCCATTTCAGGAAATATACATAGGGTAGTTAATGAAACAAAAACAACTGTGGCAACTCTGGGATTTGAATCCAACTCCAACTCTAACTCAGACCAATGTCCTTTTCACTATGCATCTGTCTCCTAAGTTAAAATGTGGTAAGTGAGTATAAGCTTCACACTAGATTTGATAGCTTATGAGCATCATTCTAGGAACCAGTCTATGTTTCTTGACTGTCCTGTTTTAAAGCAATTTAAATCACAAGCCAAAGACCCTGGATTTCTCAGAACATTTTTTTTTTTTTTTAATCCTCACCCGAGGACATTTTTCCATTTTTTGTTCAGATAGAGTGGGAAGGAGAGAGAGGAAGAGAGAGAGAGAGAGAGAGACATCGACGTGAAAGGGACACATCAAGTGGTTGCCACCCGCATGACCCAACCAGGGCCGGGGACAAACTGCAACCGAGGTACGTGCCCTTAGCGGGAACCAAACCTGGGTCTCTCCAGACCGCAGCCCGATGCTCTAACCGCGGAGCCAAACTCGCCAGAGCTCAGAACATTTTCTGATCTGTTATATGTGTTGCAGTCTATGAGGCAGATGGTTTTTCGAGGGTATGTTTGTGTGTTTATGTGGCTTAGGTGTCTGCTTATTACTGAACAACTCTGATATCCTTTGCCTTTGTGTTGAACACGTGTTGGGGTTACTAGGAGTGATCTGGATTCCTCTAGTTAGGAATCATTTTACTATTTAGATCTGTTTGCTGAGAATCTGGATGAGACCCTGAGAATGTAGTCAGATCTAGCTATTCTATGGACTTGTCATCATCAGGAGGTATGATTAGCATTGTTCTCCGTATCTCCTTAGGCCTCCTACTCTAGTGATGATCTGTAAAACCAGAGACAAAGTTATTAGCCAGTGGTCTCAGGGAATTTAATTTAAAATTTTTTTTTTTGCATTTATCTTCAGATAGAGCAGGAGGGAGGGAGGGAGGGGGAGAGAGAGAGCGAGAGAGAGAGAGAGAGAGAGAGAAAGAAACATCGATGTGAGAGAGACAAACAGACACATTGAGTGGTCACCACTGACACGACCCCACCTTGGGCGCGGACAAACTGCAACCGAGGTACTTGCCCCTAGTGGGAACCGAACCCGGGCCTCTCTGGTCTGCGGGCCTACGCTCAAACTGGTCAGGGCTGGATCAGGGAATTTTAGACATACTTACTGAATTCCATAATCAGTGCTCTTTGTGACTATGAAAGGAATTCGTTTTAAGGCAAATATAAAGAGTTCTTTTCTCATGCATCTGGAATCATTGCATCAAGTAATTTATTGGCTCAATATATAAAAAAGGTTGGGGGACATCTGTAATACCTACAAAAATAAAGATAAAAAAAGAAAAGGAATCATAGCATGTCCCTGGCCAGACAGCTCAGCTTTTTAGAGTATCATCTCGATATGCCAAGGTTGCAGATTTGATCCCTAGTCAGGGCACATACAAGAACCAATCAATGAATGCATAAATAAGTGGAACAACAAAGCAAAGTTTCTCTCTCTTTCTCTGGTCAATAAAAAAACAAAACAAAACACTCATAGCATGTACTAAAGTGACATTGAGATTTCATCCCAGGTCTTTGAGGATGATTTCATGAATAGGTCACTAGTTACCCTCATATAATCTGCTCTTGGTTACCACAGACAGCACTGGATTGGATGGACCCTAGGGATTAGTTAGTAGTAGCTTAACATATGTTAAGTTTTGACTTTGTTAAATACTTTGCAAAGCATTGCCCTGGCCAGTTTGGCTCAGCGGTTAGAGCGTCGGCCTGCAGTCCGGAGAGACCCGGGGTCGGTTCCCGCTAAGGGCACGTACTTCGGTTGCATTTTGTCCCCGGCCCTGGTTGGTCGTGCAGGTGGCAGCCACTCGATGTGTCCCTTCACGTCGATGTTTCTCACTCTCTCTCCCTTCCTCTCTCTCTCCCCCATTCTATCTGTACAAAAAATGGAAAAATATCCTCGGGTGAGGATTAAAAAAATAAATAAAAAATAAATAAATAAATAAATACTTTGCAAAGCCTTTACATACACTATCTCATTTAACAGACCTGTAAGATAGATGCTGTTGTTAATCCCTATTTGTAGTAAAATTAGGGTCCATCCTATTTGCGGCATATGGACTGAGTATAAAAGGGATAAGTCTCCAAAGAAAAATGAAGATGCCATTAACAGAAGAAGAGGGGCATGGTTGCTAGGTATATAAAAGCAATAGATGGTCACTTTAGCTGTTCTTAGGATTTTCTTTGTTTTTTAGTCACCCTCTCTTTGTATTTTGTCTAGTTACTCTGAGTTTGTTTTCTGAAAATGCATTAGGCTTTGTCCTTCATTGAGACTTCTAGTATAGTCCTTTCATTTAATGTCCAGAATCTGAGGTCCACAGTAGGGCATGACTTGCCGAAAGTTATATAACTAGACTAAAAATGGTTTGGACTAGAACTTAGGAAAGGTCTAACTTGATCATTCTACTGCTCTGCCTTCCCGTGCTTTTGTCCTATTTTTGAATCAGTTAGTATTAAATGAATGTTTATTTTCAGTTGCACTTCTGACAGGGTATTCAATATTGAACCCATGTTGAACTATTTCCTCATTGCCTGGCATCTCTCCACAGCTTTTCTTATTCCCATTGCCTTCATGTAGAAAGGCTTTACAGTTGCTCTGAGGTGAGCCTTCTCAGGATCTTAGCTACTTTTAGCAACTTCCAAACTCTGTTGTTTCAGATCAGATTTCCTCATTTAGACTTTCCACACACTTTTATGGCCAGACTTCTGATTCTGTGATTTTCTTCCCCCAGACTGTGATCCTAGAGGCTGGCTTGTGTTTTCTGTTTAGTTCATCCTGCATTTGAACATCTTCTATAATGTATTAATTAACAACTGTTCCAGGCATAGAAGAAGATCTGCAGATGGATATGGCATGGGTCTCTACCCTTGAAGAGCTCACTGTCTGGTAGAAGAGGCAGATATTAAATTGTTCCTTTATCTTTTGATGAACGTAGGAAAGGCTTCTTCTTTTTAATCCTTTATCTTTTGATGAATGTATGAAGGGCTTCTCTTTTTTAATCCTCACCGAAGACATTTTTTTTTTCTTTTCATTTTTTGTTCAGATAGAGCGGGAGGGAGAGAGAGAGAGAGAAACATCGACGTGAAAGGTACACATCGAGTGGCTGCCACCCGCACGACCCAACCAGGGCCGGGGACAAACTGCAACTGAGGTACATGCCCTTAGCGGGAACCGAACCCGGGTCTCTCTGAACCGCAAGCTGACACTCTAACTGCTGAGCCAAATTGGCCAGGGCGGAAGGGCTTCTCTTTTTTCCCCATCTTTCACAATGGTGATATTTGAGCTGGATCTTGAAGGATGAATAGTTCTTCACCAAGTGGAGGAGGAGGAAGCACAGGATGGCAGGAAGGGATGTGGCATGTTTGGTGAATGGTATGGCCAGAATATTCAGAATTGCAAAGGACTTTCAAAGTTGTGGTGTTTAAACAGTTTACCAGCTACTTGAATCCCTCTTCTTAAACCTTCTCCCAGTTGCTGGTCTAGCTTCTGGTTGCCCAGCTTGATAACAGAAAATGCTTTCATATTCCTCTAGTCTTAGTTTTGCTTCATAATTTTTGAGTTACTATTGAGATACTACAGTTTATGTTTATTGAACAGCTACTTTGTGCTAGGCTTATCAGAGGTCATGGGGATATAGCTGTGAACAAGATAGGCCAGGTCTATTTCCCTGTGGAACATTTTTTTTTATCCTCACCTGAGGACATTTTTCATTTTTTGCTCAGATAGAGTGGGAAGGAGAGAGAGAGAGAGAGAGAGAGAGAGAGAGAGAGAGAGAGAGAGAGAGAAACATCGACGTGAAAGGGACACATTGAGTGGTTCCCACCCACACGACCCAACCAGGGCCAGGGACAAACTGCAACTGAGGTACGTGCCCTTAGTGGGAACTGAACCTGGGTCTCTCTGGACTGCAGGCTGACACTCTAACCGCTGAGCCAAACCGGCCAGGGACTGTGGAACATTTTAATAGTGGAATCAGTCAGACATTGAACAAGTAATTAATTCTTGTTGATGAGTACACAGAGTAGTAGAGAAAATTATGAGGCTTTGACCTTTTGAGACAAGGGTAAGGAAGAGCTTTTCTGAGGGAATATGTGAACTGATGATGAGTAGAAAGCAAACAGGAGAAAGTAGGTAGTCAGTACAGGAAAAAAGAACTTTTATCAGCTGTGTCTAGAACACTTAACTGTGTGCCATTCACTGTGCTTGATTTTTCTTTTCAGTTACACACTTGATAGTTACATACCAATCAGATGTAACTCAGACCTTTTGGGCCTGAAATATGCTTTGAGAGGTATTTATTCCAACCTGAATATCACACTTATTAATAGACTTGTTTCCATTTATGCATATAGGTAAAATTCTTCAGCATCCGTGAAAATTTTAAGTAAAATTACCCTGTTTGATATTTGTTGTAAGTTTATATTTTGTGTATTTTACTTTCTTTTGGAAAATAATTGATGATGATAAGTAGAACATGACAGATATTAAATGAATTGTAATTTTCTCATGAATTCTTATTTCAACTAACATTGCATGCTTACTCATAATTATTTGTGCTCTTGTTTATTGAGCTTCTACTCTGTGCCAGGGACTGTGCTAAATAAGCATTTTATATCAATATCTCAATCTTCATTACTGTTCTGGTAAGTGGTTACTATCTTTTTTTTATATAAAGATAATGAAATGGAAGCTCAGAGAGCAATATATAGTAACTAAATGTTATAGAGCTAGGATTTAAATCCAAATATGACTTCTGAGTCTGGATTTTTTTTTATACTATGTGATATTTCATGTTTGGAGTCAAAGACCTTTGAGTAATGCACAAATCATAATCTTTTTTTTTTCTATTATGTTCTCTTTAGGTTTTTGTCAGGATGAATTGACAGAGCTCGACCCAGGCACTAGTAAGTTATGAATGTTCCCCAGTGTTTGTAATTAAAAAAGGATGTGTGTGTGTACTTTTAAATGTATAACTTAAGGTGTCATTGATAGACCTTACTGACTTAGATTTTATTTTCACTTTAATTTATAATTATGGGGAGGGCACTATATCTTTTCTAGTTGCGCTCTCATTTTCTTCTCCTGACATTATTCAGTGGCCTGGATTGAGCTCATTTTATAGAAATTTGGTTTGCTGAAAATTTCTATTTGATTCTAATCTCCTTGCTCTGTCCATCTGTCTCCCACAAAACCAGTAACAACAACCATATGCAACCATATGTACACATACAACCATATACCCACAACCACTTTTCTAAAGTATTGACTAGTTTTGACATCATTTATTTCAAAGAAGGATTATGCATGGTTTAGATGTTTAAAATTAATAACTTTTATACCAGAGTTAAATTTCTGAAGCATCTTTATCTATATTCTTAAGGTTAAGATATGAGAGTAACCATTTCAAAGTCTAATTAAATGATGCTTTTCAGGACTATATAAGTCTTTTTTCCCCAAGTAGTTTATTGATCTTTAGCAAGAAGGGAAGGGAGAAAGAGAAAGAGAGAGAGAAACATTGATGTGAGAGCACATCATCGATTGGCTGCCTTCTGCATGCCCCCTACCAGGGATCAAGCCTGCAACCTGGGCATGTGCCCTTGAATGGGAATCGAACCAGCAACCTCCTGGTGCATGGGACGATGCTCAACCAACTGAGCCACACTGGCCAGGGTAGGAATATGTAAGTCTTGATCATAGATAATGATCTGTGTTTCTAGTACTCTCAACATGTGGCATTCATCATTCTTAGCTATTGTTGTAACTATTGGAAATAAGAAGTGGGAATATCCAGTGTCCACAGACCTTATTTTGCTATAATGCCAAAAGATCTAATGATAATTTAGATTGAGAATCCATGAGACGATCTAGGATTATTTTTCTAGTTCTGGTATTTTTTAGGGTCATGGGGCTGGCCATTTGTCACCAGTCTGCTATTGGGATAAGTGGTAAAGTTCACCTTCTCACCATCTTGGCTAATGCTCTCTCTCTCTGACACTGAGAACCTTCTCACATATTTGCCACACACATCTTAATAGTATAAACACTTATGTTTGTTCAGCTAATACTTATTAATTGCAAGACAAAATAAATCCCACAATGCTTATCAAACACAAGAAATAGATTTGTCTTTCTAGAAGCTGCAAAGTTCAGAATCAGTTTTGTAGGAAGTACAGGCTCAGTTTACCCTTCTCTGCCACCTGAAATTCCAGTAGCTATTAGTGAACATGCTATTTTTGTCCTCTTATGAATAGCCTTCATGTAGGAGGAGAAAAAGGTAAATTATTGATTATGGTTCTTTCTTAGAAACATTTTTGGACACTAGGAAGGACATTAAGATGCCCTGTAATATTTCAGACTGAACTCTACATATACATAAAACATGCCAGATAATTGAGAATTCAGATATTGTGTGTTCTCTCTGTTCCAGTATCATTTCTGTGCTCCAGGGATACACAAATAAGTCTAGGTCCTGCCTTCATGTATTAACTGTCTATTGGAAAATAATTTTCTTGTCTGGAATTATTTGAAAAAAACATAAAAAAATTTTTTTCATTATTGATTTTTATTTATTTTTAATTTTTTTAATTTTTATTTTTCAGTTATACTTGATCTTCATGAGTTTTATTGAAAAGAAGAATAAAAGTATATGAAAAACAAAGAAAAATTTAGTTTGGTCTTAATGAACTTGGAATTTTAGTCCTTCAATATAGAGAGGGCTCTTTCAGTATTGTTAGCAGCAAAGCCTATTGATAGAGACCCGCGTTATCATTGACTAAAAATGGCCTTCACATTACTACACACAAATAAGCAAAAATAAATTATTTACTTTTGCTTAATTGAATCAGTTGAATCACTTGGCATTAATAGTTTGGACATAAACTTTAGAAATAAAAGGTAAATAAGGCGTTATGGTATTATAATATTTTGTGAAGATAATTCTCTTCAGCTAATATTTTGAGGATACAAGAGGAAATTTCCTTTTGTTGTTCTCACCACTTGAGTATATTCTCTGCCAGTTCTTCTGTCTCAGTCACCAAAATATCCATCTTGGCTAAAGCCTTGCTCATTTTCTTTAGATTTGCATCTAAGTGAGGAATACTTCTAATTGTTTCAAGATGAATTTCTAATCTCTCAATGAAAGTCACTGCTAATTCCAGCAAATGTACCAGGTATCTGTGATAAACAGCTTCAATAGGCAGATTTTCCTGGCACATGGGTTTCAACAGTCTTTGCCTGAGGGACCTCTTTTCTTTTAGCACTGCTTCCAAATGATTATTCATGCTTTGAAGAGTTTGACATTTTTGAGCCAAAAAAGAAGGATGAACAATATCTGCTGTATCTTTTTCTAGTCTTAGAAGTTCAATTTCCAGGTTTTTCTGATTGATTTCAGCTTGAATATTTGTGGTCTGCTGTAGCCTGGAGAAGTTCACAAAGCAAGGAGTTGATTTCTTAGATATATTTAACATCTCCTGACTGACTATCCCCGAAGCTACGAAATGGCCCAGCAGTAGCCCGGCGGCGTTTGGTGCCAACACCGGGTCCCAAGGCTTCGCCGCAGCCATGGCTGAGACCTCCCGCCCCCGGCCATGGAAATAGTCTCATTATTGATTTTTAGAGGGAGAGGGAGAGAGAGATAGAAACATTGATGAGAGAGAACATCGATTGGCTACCTTCTGCATGCCCTCCCACTGGGGATTGGGCCCACAACCTGGGAATAGAACTGGCAACCTCTGGGTGCATGGGTCGATGCTCAGCCACTGAGCCACACTGGCGGGGCGAAAAAACGTTTAGCATTTGGTACCCACACTTATTCTTCTTTTCTGCACTTAATATCAATTGAAAACTAATCATGCCATCTTCTAGGAAAGACCCTTGTTATTTTTATAAGATTTTTGGATGATTCTTCTTTCTGGGCCAACTAATTCTAACTCATTTAATGTTTCTGCGTAAGATCTCTAGCTAGATATGGTGATTTATAGACCTCTCCATTCCATGAGAATGAACAAATATTGAATCATTTTATGTATCAGTATAGAATGGGAATCACCTAAAAAATCACTCTTGTTCAAAGTTGTGCTTAGCTCATGTGGCTAATATTCTCAATAATTCCTATATTATCTTTGTGAAGTTAGTGTTTTTATTCTTTCTCTTTGAAGAAATACATGAATATCTGAAGTTATAATAATAAACGGAAAGAAATTTATTTTGATTTGAACCAGTCTTGGGGTTCAAATAAGCAAGCATGGTCAGCCTTACTGAGTGATGTGAAATCTGAAGACCCCAGTCTGTGTGTGTTGTGAAATTGGTTGTTGTTGATATTGCAAATTCTTCGTCTTCTAACTAGGAAGGAATGACATTTATGTTAATACTTCATGAATTTTGCACATAAGATTCAGAAAAATAGGGATTTCTTGGTGGTGAATCTTGGGAATTTAGAGGTCCCAATGGCTTCCCGAATCTCCCCCCACCCCCCAATTCCTGATAGGGAAAGCTTGCTCATACTTGCTTATTTTGTACCAGGAAGTACCATTGTTGCTGATTTTCCATTGTGCCTGGCAGTGGCTGTAGACAGTAAGTTTGCAACAACAGGTGGGATGTGTTGGAACTAGAAGGGGAAGGACTGACTTTGTCCAATTCCAGTGGCCTTTTTTCTTTTTTGGGAGCACCTTTTCTATGATAGAGCAGGTAGGTAGCCATGTTTAGAATATGGGCAGCTATTCACATTAACTGCCTTCCTATGATTTCTGGGCTTCCTGGAGTCCAATGTTAGGGTACAGGTTCAGGCTAAGTTCATTTCTACAAGAAGCATCTCTGTACCCTGCCTATTAGCATAAGCTAGGGACAAGGGCAGTCAAAGGTCAAGAGAAGTTCAAAACAGCATAACCTTTCTGTGCTTCTGTTTCCAAATAACCCCAGTCTGCCCTGCTCCCCAAGTTTTTTCCTCAGCCATCGTGTTTACTGTGTAGTTGTAAAACCTAAGAGAACAAGGACTGACTTGATACAAGGAAAGTTAGAGAATAGAAGTCATTGTTGCTTAAAACAGGAGAAATAATTGATTTATGTTTGGGGGCCAATTAGGCTATAAAACAGGAACAGTAAAGGGACCTGTGACTTAAGGAACCGCTACTTGCTCTGATTTCTGTCCTATAGACAACGGGCTCCCCAATAAAGGCTGTCAGCTTTCTAGGCTAAATTATTAATTCCTTTCATGCTTCTCAGGGATTGTAAACAGTACATAATACAGGAAAACAATTGATACTGTTCAGTCATTGGCCAGAGACAGGGTCAAAGGGTAAATAGTTGGATTAGCAACAGCTGTTCTTCCTCCAAAGTCAAACTTTTGTTCCTTATTATCTATTTCAGCAAAGTCATTCCTGAGTTTTTGGCCTGTAAATAGTTAAATCCATTTCTGTACTTATAAAATAATCCAGAAAAGTAATTAGAGAGTAAGCATTGACCAAAATTGATATTCATTTTAATTCCGTTTCCAAAGTTGAAGATGAGCATTCTTTTTGGTATGTGCTGACTATATTGTTTGATGTTCAAAGGGTTTTATCCCAAGGAAAGTTAACTACTTGAAGTTAGAGTAGGTGCTTTTTAGCTGTTTTTACTAACTGCTTAAGGATCTTGGTGTAGCTTGATGAAAAGAAAAAAATTGCCTTTGTTTAAATTGATAGTAGGGCAATGCATGTTCATTGTGAAAAACACTAAAAAATAGGAATACCCCTAATCTCACCACCTGGAAATAGCCATTGTTGTTGTTTTTTGAAAATATGTCCTATTTACGTCTGAGTTTATTTATTTTTTAAACCATATTTCTTTTTAATTTTTATTTATTGATTTGAGAGAGAGAGAGAAACATCGATATGTTGTTCACTTATTTATGCATTCATTGGTTAATTTT